GTATAATCAGATCCTGTAGTTGTCCCATGCTATAGCACCTTATTATGTTTGTTCTGTTATAGTATCTTAGTATGTTCTTTCTGTTATCGTGTATTGTATCTTCCTTCCTGTTTCTCTTTATTGTGTGTTCTCTTATATTATCGTGTATTGTATCTAGTATGAATTGAACCTCTAAACTATACTCATTATAGTTTACTAGTGTTTTACTTGAACTGTAATTGAAAAGACTCATTTTACTACTAAGTTATGCTTGTACTTTAAAATGGAGTTTTGTTAAACTAAAAAGTAACATAACTTTAAAAGAGTTTTTAAAATGTTTTGATCACTCATATATGATATAAGCAACCTTAGAAAGATGTTATAACAAACAATTACACAATTATCAATTGTGTTCAACTTGTATCCCCCCCCCCTTAAAAGCATTTAAAACAGTTTAAAATATTGATTACAGGGTATGAACTCACCTGATGTGGGTGATTCAAACGAATACGCGTGTAAGGATGAGAAGCTCCACGAATGAACTCCTGAGACTTAACGAGTCCTAAATGACATATAATGGCATATATTGACATAAATATAGCGTTTAAAAGCAACCAAATGCAAGGAAACACTTCACATGACTAGGAAACACTTTGACCAAGTGTTGGAATCACGTGTGATTGAACTACGGGGACTGTATGGCCACTTTGAGGAGTGTGCGGCCATGGGTGTGCGGTCAGGGAGTGTGCGGCTGCACACTCATGGTAAAGAGTGCACAAAATCGTTTTCCAAGGGTAGGGAGGCTTGTAGGACAATTAATCTTCGAGTGGTGAAGCTGGAATGCACTTTGAAGGCCCCTTTAAGGGTGTTTTGAGGAGTATACGGCCACACATGGGTGTTCGGCCACACACACCATATGATCATGAATTTTGGGAATTTTTAAGGGCTAACTAGTGCTTTAACAAGTATTAAGCAAAAGGGAAAGAGTACTTACGTTCTTGAAGATCTGGGCTGAAAATCGAATGCTAGTTGAGAAAGAAATCGAGTTCTATACTTGGGAGGGTGAAAAGGAATGAAAGGAGGCTAAGATCTATACTTATACACGTGAGTGTGCTGCCAGGAGAGGGGTGTGCGGCCGCACACCCATGTGTGGCCGTACGCTCCTTGTGTTGGAGTGTAAGGCTCAGTTTTGGTGCTTTACGTGTACGTGATCCAATCCTTTACTCAATGCTTGAATGTACTGAGCTTTGAACCTTTGAACGGACTCTAAACAAGGCTAAATGATACCAGGAACGATTCTGACACTCAGTTGAGTTGACTGTTGGATTTATAAAGCTAAAAAATTTCGGGCTGTCATATTATAGGTTTGACATGATGACAAGTGTCCTAAAATATCGTTAGTTTTATCTAAATATGACACTTGTCACCATTTCATTTGGATAGGAAGATAAGTAGGAAGAACATGTAGGAAGATATTTAATTTCTCTATTAGAGCAATTAAATATCCTCCTGTTTTTCTTCCTAATTATCTTCCTACCCATCTGAAATGATGACAAGTGTCCTAAAATATCGTTAGTTTTATCTAAATATAACACTTGTCACCATTTCATTTGGATAGGAAGATAAGTAGGAAGAAAATGTATGAGGATATTTAATTTCTCTATTAGAGAAATTAAATATGCTCATATTTTTCTTCCTAATTATCTTCCTAGCCATTTGAAATGATGACAAGTGTCCTAAAATATCATTAGTTTTATCTAAATATGACACTTGTCACCATTTCATTTGAATAGGAAGATAAGTAGGAAGAAAATGTAGGAGGATATTTAATTTCTCACAATATTATCTTTGACGTCAAAGATACCAAACTAGAGGGATGGTAGAGTGCACAAAACACTACCATTCAATGATCAATTGTCTAAAATACCTTCAATCATGATTGAATTCAATCAGCCAAATAAAAACTTAACATGGAAGGAAAATTAGTGATGATCTCTCTTTATGTATGACTTTCTGCACATAAATGAAATTACGAAAGATATCTCCCGATTTTGATTTTAATAGTTGTCAATTGGAAGGGATGAGGTCGTATAAAGGGTAATTAGTTAAAAACAAACAAAAAGGGATCAGATTTTTACTTCACAATAATCAAATGTTTAAATTAGTAGAGGTAATATCCAAGCTCAATAATATTAGTTACACTAAAAGAATATCATTCTTAAAAAAATCATGTCAATGAAATATTGCTATGAACAAAACAATAATTCAAACATGAAATCGAAAGAAACAAGAATTGGCATAACAATAATAGGTTTGACCAACCGAGAATGACCTTTAGATGGGGACGACGAAGGCTTCGGATGGAGGAGGGAGGAGTCACGCAGATGATGCAAGTGGGATTTGCTTTGCAGATGTCGAAAGTGGGTAAGGAGAAGGAACGCTGGCAAGTATAGTAGAAGTCGGGAGGGGCAAATAAGGGCAACAGAGCTCTTATATATATATATATATATATATATATATATATATATATATATATATATATATATATATATATATATATATATATATATATATATATATATGTGGTGAAGTTCAATAGAGAACTATAATTAAACAAGTAACCAATTTTTTTTCAACTTTTAGAGCTTATTGTTTATCAAATAAAAAAAACAAAAAATATAGAAATTCATAACTTTTTATCCTTTTTCCAATGATATAAAATTCGATTTTTTTTTTTTTGTTTTACGTCAAATTCATAATGTGAATCTTTGAAATTTCACAACGTGAATCCGGATTCACACGGTGAATCCGAAAAATATTTTTCACATTCACAATGTTAATATATGAATTTAGATATTTTTAAATTTTTTTTTCGATAAAAAATAAGTTCTAGAAATTGAAAAAAAGATTTGGTTCCTTGAAGAACCAATAATTATGGCTCTCTATTGAACTTTATATATATATATATATATATATATATATATATATATATATATATATAATATATATATATATATATATATATATATATATATATATATATATATATATTATATGCGCAAAAATTGTTTGTTACACGTATTGTTAACTCACTTGGGTGTTATAACGCATCCAAATCACACTTCGACATATTTGCAACTGTTATACACTGAAACTATTAGATTAAGATGTTTGACAATGGTTTTATTAAATTATCTAATGTTTACATGCTATTTATATTTTACACCCACTAGCAATCTAATAATATTTATTTTTTCCTTAGGAGCTGTTATCAGTTTTTTGTAGATGTTTTCTTATTAGACTTATAATGTGAACTTACCCATTTTTCATACTTCCTATTGATCTGAAAGTCAAATTTTTGTCTTTTATATTTGTAATTCCGACAAGAACATGCTTAGCAATTATTATGGAATTGAATTCTGTTACTATTCTAATTTTGATCATGAAGTTGCTGATAGTGGTTTCTGAAACCTTTGTATTTTATTAATCATGCTAGCATATATATTTTATATTATATTATAAAACATATTAATCATATCTTGAATATTAAGAAGTATAAAATACAAAAGCTTTGTTTATAAATCAATTATGCATAACAAAATCATTAATATTTATCAAAAGTTTGAAGATTTGAAATAAGAAAGGTTATTAAGAAATTTAATTTGGAGCAAAATGACAATTTTAAAAATACTAAATTCATCTGTATAAATTAATTTATATTTATTAAACTAGACACCGAAAATAACTAACTATATCAAATGTATATACAGATAATATACATATAAGTGTTAAACATAAATATTTTAATTAAAAATGGTAATTTTATTATTATTACATAATAACTAATAATAAAATACAATATTTTCCCCTTAAAAAAACTATTTACCAAAGGAGTTAACTATCATTGTTACTTTGTGTGTGACACATCCAGTGTTTTAAAATAATGAATAGCAGTGGAATTACCGACTCCGAAGAGAATTAGAAGGTTTTGTCGCCGATGGAAACCTTGGTATTTGAGCCTTTTGTTGTTTGACATTCAATTGTTTTTCAATGTTATTTGTTAATCATGTTTCTAAATGTTAGTTGTTAACTTATAGCAACATATCAACTCCAATACAATTTCCATTGCTACAATTGATTAGAAAAAACCTAACAAAAAAATCGAACCGTACAACACAGGTCTCATCACTTTATTATTAAATATTGAATATGTTTTTTTAACCTTGATAAAAAAAAAAAAAAAAAAAAAAAAAAAAAAAAAGAATAAACACAACTCTTAATTTATAATATAAAAAGTTGTTTAGATCTACATTGTTATCTTTGTTAAAAAGTCCAACTACTATTCACACATCTTTTTAACTTTTAGTTTATATGAATATATGATTTGCAATTCAATAGATTAATTTCTAGTCCAGCGGTTTCGGTGTTGCCTTCCCTCTTTGAAGCCGAGGATTCAAGTCTTGTGAGGGACATAAGTGGAGATTTAGGTGAATTGTAGGAGTAGAATAAAGTAGATTTACGGTTCAAAAAAAAAACTCCATTTATAATAAGAATATAAGAAGAGAATGTATAATTGTAAACAAAATATACTTTCGACAGGACTCGTCAATTTTTTCAAATAAAACTTAACTGATTAATACGAAATTAATAAAAAAAAAAATTGAGATGTTAAAAAGAAATCAAATAAAATTAAACAATATTCTATAAATTTAGTTGTATTGTCTAGATCTTCCTAATGTTAATAGTTGATAAATGCTGCGTATCTTTATTATGTATTAATGATTTATGATATATTTGTGATTTACAAAATAAATATATTAAACAAAAATATACAACTTTTTTTGTTTGAAATACACTATATAAATAGTAAGTATTATGTTACAAGTGAATTAAACGTTTCATTTTTCTAATAGACCACTTTTTGGAACATTGAAATTAGCCAACATAAACAATTATATAGACGAGACTTTAATTTCATATCTATTAACATAAACAATTTGTGAGCTCCAACTATCTCTTCAATGGCACGTCCTTCTTCATCATTTATTTCATTCTTCATCATTTTGCACCTCTTATTAAATTGTAATTTGAATGCAAATGGATGTTACACTTCAATCATCGGTTTTGGAGACTCTCTATTCGACACTGGCAACCTAAAACACCTAAGCCAATTTTCATTGCCTTTCTTTTATCTCCCTTATGGTGAAACCTTTTTTCATAAGTCCACTGGTCGTGCTTCTAATGGTCGCCTCATGATCGATTTCATTGGTAACCTCTCTTACATCTCACTTGGTTAATTCTTGTATGTGTGTGTCCGGCTGTCCGCATTTATAAAGACTTTTGACTCTCTCTCTCTCTCTCTCTCTCTCTCTCTCTATATATATATATATATATATATATATATATATATATATATAGGGAAAAGTGAATATACCCTTAAGGGTATATAAGCTTAGGTACCCAAACTCACCATATTACGTCGTTTTATATCATATATATATACATTGTAATTGTTTAATGTTTTTATAATTCAACTTCTAACTTGATTTCATTCAAAGATTTTTATAAATTTTACATTTATTTTCCTCTTACTTAATTTTCATTTTGAACTATAATATATATAGCCAAATTGATGTTCGTCAAAAAGATGTGATTTAAGAGGAAGATAATAATGTAATTTTGAAAATTTTAAAAGTAAATTTAGTTAAGGATTGAAGTTGAAGAACATTATAATAAATATATCAAACAAAATGACGTATTATTGTGAGTTTGGGTACCTAAGCTTATATACCCTTAAGGGTATATTCACTTTTCCCATATATATATATATATATATATATATATATATATATATATATATATATATATATATATATATATATATATATATATATATATAAGTCAATTTAAAAAGGATGTTAAATATAAAAATCAAAATATTTGAAAACTTTCAATTTATAAGAAAACAAGAAAAATAATTAATTATTATAATGGAAATGTTTTTTATCTTTTAAATTTAAACAAATAATTTAAATAAATAAAATAAACTAATGAACTTTAATTTTAGGAATTTTTAAATTAAAAGGTAAATTCATTAATGAAATTGATATACATTTTATTGTAATTATTTATTAAAATGTTTGTGAAATTTAATAAAATAGAAAACTCATAAAATGGCATTTGGAAAAAAAAAATTCAAAATAACCATAAAATGACATTTGTCAAATTGGATAAGAGTATGACAAGTAGCAAAAGAACATTAATTTATTAGAGAGGATGTGTGTCTTCATTGTATTTCCTTATCTATTCCAGAAATTTGTATAAAAACGTTCATTGTGAAGTATGTGTATATTTTTATATATTGTAATAAAGAAGACAACGAAATCAATACATACATATATATATATATATATATATATATATATATATATAATATGAAAATTAAAAAACAAAAAATAATAAAATAATAAAAAAACCTTATACCTAAGCCTTCGTGAAAAATTTACTGAGTTTAATGTCAAATAAGATTATTATTCTTTTTTTTTTTCTTTATGAAGCTGATAGCCTCAAGCTACCATTCGTACCACCTTTTTTCGATGATAATGGGAATGAGAAGATGGAATTGGGACAAGGAGTAAATTATGCGGTAATAGGTGCAACCGCAATGGATTATTCTATTCATAAAGCCACTGGGGTTCATAGTATATTGACAGATGGATCTTTACGAGTTCAGCTTGAGTGGTTCAAAGAATCAATATGTGCCAATGTTTCAGGTAAATAAGTTAAACTTAAATATGTTTATAGGAGTAAGAACTTAATGTCTAGGGGTGACAATATAATGATATATAATACAATAACAATATCTCTATCATTGTTATATTTATCAAATTTTTAGGATGATCCTAGAAACCATACATAATTTGTTCGTAATTCTATGATTTTTCACAAAAATTACTCACACCCATGTATTTTCTACCAAATGAAAACTAATTACTTTTCTAACAATTCTGACAGACATGACGAAAGCAAATCCATGGATAACCGTCACAAAAAAAGCTACGGATTTTCCTGTGAATTATCTGGATTTCAAAAAAATTTTAAAAAAATATAGGTAAAAGTGTAAAACTAATAATATATCTTAACCTTTTAGAAATAAAAGGTTTCATAGTTAATCCATGATTAATTATTTCTAACAATTTGTATTTATCATATAAATTATATTACTTAGATCATTAAAAGTTAAGAAGTTGTTGGTAATCCATGGAGAAATACATTATTAAGATATTTTGTATAATTTTATTATATATATATATATATATATATATATATATATATATATATATATATATATATATATATATAGGGCGAGAGAGAGAGGGCGAGAGAGAGGATCTACCGAGTACTCAAAAACATAATGAGAACTGCAATAACAAATTTTAGCAGTTTGTATTATCAATATAAATTACATTATTTAGATCATTAAAAGTTAAGGATATGTTGGTAATCCATAGAAAAATAAATAGTTAAGATATTTTGTATAATTTTGTTATATATATATATATATATATATATATATATATATATATATATATATATATATATATATATATATATATATATATATATATATATATTCAGGTTCATTTGAGACGATTCTAATTTTGTGAGACCGTGAAACTAAATCTAAAACTAATTTTAAAATGCAAAATAAATGGAAAAATCAAAAAATTATTTTTTTAAATATTACTTTCGGAACTTGAATTAACTAAAAAAAATTTAAAAAAATTAAAAAAAAATCCCATTTTTTTTAAAAAAAAATACGTGAAATATTCTAATAGAATATTACACTGACATATTCTAAAAAATAATTTTAAAATGCAAAATAAATGGAAAAATCTAAAAATTCTTTTTTTTAAATATTATTTTCGGAACTTGAATTAACTAAAAAAATAAAAATAAATAAATAAATAAAAATAAAATCTCATTTTTTTTAAAAAAATACGTGAAATATTCTCATAGAATATTACAATGTACATATTATAAAAAATAATTTTAAAATGCAAAATAAATGGAAAAATCTATAAATTCTTTTTTTAAATATTATTTTCGGAACTTGAATTAACTAAAAAAATCCCATTTTTTTTTAAAATACGTGAAATATTCTAATAGAATATTACACTGTACATATTCTAAAAAATAATTTTAAAATGCAAAATATATATATATATATATATATATATATATATATATATATATATATATATATATATATATATATATATATATATATATATATATATATGGAGAGAGAGAGGAGGGATCTGCTGAGCACTGACTACTACAATAACAAATTTTAGCCGCTTATCAAATAAATTGAATGGTATAGATATAGTCTAAAACCCGAATGAATCTTAGATAAAGAAGGGTTATTATTGTAATTATCAAAAAAGTGAAAGGACACTTTTTGTAAGTTGAGAGGGTAGAAATGTAAATGGAAAAGTGAATTAGCTAAAAGTGGACTCGTCCTCGCCAAAAACGCTACTCTTTTAGAGGATGTGTTACACCGAAGGGTATAGGGTGGATGATGGTCCACACCACTCTTTAATATTTTTTTTTATTCAGTTAAAACCCAAAGAATTGAATAAAAAACTTTCCTTACTATTTTTTACTTTTGTGAAAAAATATATTTCATATATATTATACTCATGGTAAAAAATAAGAAATCATGAATTTTGATATATTTTTTAGTAGGTATATAATTTTATAAATATTAAAAAATATAATAAAAAAAAACTACCTAATAGCATGAATAGAGAGAGTGCGACACCACCTCCCCTCACCTCTTTCCCGTGGGTTGCTTCCCACACCCAAGGAATGGTTTTCCAGTGTGAGGAAAACTTCTCTCTCCCCTTTTCCACTATAATACAGTTCGGCCTTAAGAAGGGTCGCCAAGCATGTAGCGACAGGAGATAGGAGAGAAAAAATGTATTAGTGGCTTCTCATTGGTTTATAGTTATTGTTTTTCTTTTTTCTTTTTTTATTTAAAATAATGTCAATTAATTTAACACCTTACCAATACTTATGAAATGTTTAGAAAAACAGGTTAGTAAGTTGGCAACAAAAAAATGATGTGGCTGCACAAAAAATGATACGACGGTGTGCTAATGTTACCATTCTATTCAGCCTAACATCATCCAACAATGGATCTCATTCTTCTCCTTATTCACATGTGTCACCGCCTTATTAGGTGGTTTTTTTTATCAATAGATTTTAAGGAATAACTTTTTTTTAGAAAAAAAATGAAAAAAAAGTTCTCAAAATTTAATTTTCCACAAAATGAACAGAATCATAAAAAAATTTTAAAAAATATTTATTTATTTATTTTATTAAAAAACTCATAAAAATTTAAAGAATACTTTTACTCAATATACTATTGACTTTCTAAAAAGTTTTTTTTTTAAATAAGATTTTGATGTCTTTATTTTTAATTTTAAGAAATATTAGCTTTTAAAAAATATTGAACATAATATAATCCAAAATATGATGATTAAAAATATTTACAATTAAAAAAAACCTTTTGATTCAACTTTTTTTATTATCCTTAATTGGTTATGATTTAAAAATATTTAGATTCAAATATTTTATAATCTTTAATTATATCTTTTATAATGTAAAATTAAATAATTTAAATATATATAATGATCCATAAAAGTCTTTTGAACAAATTAAGTATAATTATTCCAAAAAGATTGATGTTAAGAAAACTTTGGTTGGAATATTTGTCTGTAATACTAATTATTTATTTACTTATTTTAAATTTGTTTTTGGAAAACAAAGATGAGGAAAATTAATAACTTTTTTTTATCATTATTTTCATTATTCTAATTATCTTTTATTTTATAATCTCCAAAATAAATTACTATAATCACATTTCTAGTCTCATTAAATGGCTTCTAGTCTAGTGGTGTTAGGTATTGCTCCTTATTCTTTGAGGTTGAGAGTTCAAGTAATGTTGTGTGTGTGTGTGTGTGTGTGTGTGTGTGTGTGTGTATATATATATATATATATATATATATATATATATTACTACTTTATAATGTATCCATAACAAATAACCAAAAGTTTTTAAGACTAAAATCTTAAAAACAATGGGATAAATTTTTGACCACTTGATCTAATTTGGATGGTGTAGATTATATATAGGTTAATCCAAGAGAACAATATTAAACCAATCAAAATAGAGCACTATGACTATAAAAGACACGTTATACATTCTTTCCTCAGAAAGCCTAACCAGTTCTCTCTCTTGAAACAACTACTCACCCTCTCATCCAAAAGTTAAAAACATAAACTTAATCTCGCTCCAGCCGCAAGCACCAAAAGTCTCCAGCACTCTTAACCTTCGGCGCCATCATTTACGACTACAAACTCATTTCGCCACCACTTACACACCACCTAACCTCGAAAGACCACTTGTAACGTCGTGATTTTCACCATATTTTTTTTTCTTTTTAAAACATTCATTTAACAGAATACATTAGCGGAAGATTTAGTTTTGATTCCAAAACATTTTCAAAACCACAACGTTACTCCGAAAACTCAAACGAAATTCCAAACCATTTAAAATGTAAACAAAAGTACTTTAAAGCAAATAATCAAAGTGTATCCAAGAGTGGTATCGTTACTAAAGACTACTACCCATAAGAACCCCTCTCACCAAGACCAATCTTCTAAACTGTCTGCACCAATCATAAGGCACAAAAGAGAAACGATACAAGTGTCAGCCCCTGCTGAGTGACTTCATAAAGTTGCATATAAAACATACAAACTCCAAATTAGTCAATCATTCATTTTACGATGAAGCATAAAAATGATAGACAAATACCACTTAGAGAACAACCGCATATCATAATTATTCAACCGCATACATGCATATATGTTTAATCACAATTCTACCACATAACATATATGATCAACCAAGTACCACATAAGTAACCGTATAACATAAAAATAATCACATTTCATATTTAAGCAACCTTTAATCGTTCAATCTTTTATTAATAAGTAACATTTGTTATATATATATTCAACCTTTTAATATGCAACCAACCTTTTGTTACATGTTCAACCTTTTATTAATAATCAACATTTGTTATATATTCAACCTTTTAATATGCAACCAACCATTTGTTACATGTTCAACCTTTTATTATATCTATCCAACCGATTGATAGAAAAGTGTCTCTTAGTGCTACCTAACCCAAGAGAAACACCCCGTTCACTACTTGTGTGCACGACCAACCGAATGCTCTAAGTGGCTCATGACTTCCACCTGAAACACCAACCCCTTGACTCCACTTTTGCTACTCCGACTTTGCAAAGTACAAATACCTCGCGGTGTCGTTCAGGATCGGTACAAACGGTGCCAATTCCACCGCTACACCTCCCAATTCCCACGTGATGTTTGCGTTGGCCGCGAATGAGGGACCAACATCACTCCAGCCTACGAACACCGAAGTGGCCGAAAACCATGTGTCACACGGTCATCTAGAAAGACCAGCAACTAACAACCGTTGTGGCTATAGCTCTTCCTATAGGTACTCTTTCAACCTAATAGACACCCTCAATGATCCTGATAAGGTTTTAGGTAAAGATCATGAACTACCCAAACCCTCTACGCATAACCCCGCAATGTTAATTATACATTAAGTAAAGCATGTAATTCATACAATATAAGTGTGTATTTAAACATGCATTATATTCATAACCAACA